CCTCCGGAGCGAAGTAGGGGCCCCCCTTCTGACGGGGTCGAAAGAAGGCTGCAGGGTCGGGGGAAGGCTTCGCGCGATAATTGGTGGTGGCGGCCGTAGGACGTTAAGAGGGAGGCCTTCCCTGGCTGTCATTGAAGGCCTCAGGGCGGGCGCAGGGGGTGGACGACGTGGAGGGAGGCCGGCGTCGTTAGCGGCGGCGGGGGCGGTGTGGGGGAGGTGGAGGGAGGCGGCGGCGTGGGCGAGGTGGGGGGCGGCGGCGGCGTGGCGGCGTGGCGGCGGTGTGGGGGAAGCGAGCGGCGAGCGAGCGGCTAGGCGGCGGGAGGGCGAGGCGAGGGTGGCGGCGGTGGATCACGAGGAAGTAGGAGGTCGAGCGCAAGCGGGCGAGCGAACGGCGAGATGGGTCACGAGGAAGTAGAAAGTCGGGAGCGGGCGAGCGAACGAACGGCGAACGGCGAGCGAGAGCGGCGAGGCGGCGGGAGGGCGAGGCGAGGGTGGTGGGGGCTCCGTATCTCATCATATCCGCGTGTATCTCCCGGTATCCCGCCATATCCCGCCATATCCCGCCATATCCCGCCGCGGATACCGCGAAAAAAATCGGCCGTTCCGGTCTTTTTCTTTTTCAAAGGGAGGATTTGGCGGCGGCCGGCGACTGCGTCGTGCACATGCATCCCGAGCAGGTGCTGCGCCTGCTCCTCGGGGAGAGCTGGCCGGACGCGGCGTGGGACGAGCGCGGGTCCGGCTCGGGCGAGTCGGGCTCGGGCGGCCTCGAGCCCATGCCCATGAACCGTCCGGAGTGGGTGTTTTTCGGGCTCCTGACGTTTTGCGATGTGTTTGTGCTGCTGCTGCTCGTCTCCTCCATCGGCGGCTTCATCGGCCGGCTGTGTGACCGGCGCACCACGCGCACCGGCCACAGCGATTCCACCTCCCGCCTCCGCGCCGCGCTCGCCACGCAGTCGATGACTGTCATCGTGCCGTGCTACTTGCCAAACGAGCAGCACATCCTCATGGAGACGGTGGAGCACATCCTGTCGCGGCTCGAGTACCCGGCCGCCTTCACGCTCATCCTGTGCTACAACACGCCCACGCCCCTCCCCGTCGAGGCCGACCTCGCGCGGCTCGACGGCAAGGTTTACCCGGGCGGCCGCACACTGCGGATCCTCAACGTCATCGGCTCGCACTCTAAGGCAGAGAACATCAACGCAGCGATGAGCCGGATGGTGGACTCGGAGCTGGTCGCCATCTACGACGCGGACCACCACCCCGACCCCGAGTCCCTCCTCGTCGCCACCGCCTACATGCGCGCGTACGGTGAGAGGGCCCTTCCGAGAGACGCTTCCGAGACACTTCCGAGAGACACTTCCGAGACACTTCCGAGCGACACTTCCGAGACACTTCCGAGAGACCCTTCCGAGAGACACTGACGAGACCCTTCCGAGACCCTTCCCAGACCCTTCCCAGTGGGCTCGCCCGCATGCGCGCGCGCAGTGCCGCCCGTGCACGAGCGGCTTCTCGTCAAACGCGTCGGCATGTCCACGCCGCGTCCCTGGTGTGTCGCGCAGGCGTCGACTGCGTGCAGGGCTCCACCTACCTGCGCATCACCCGCAGCCCGATGGCCGCCGGAAGCCGCGCGCCTTCCCTCTTCGAGAGGCAGCCTCGGCTCTTCACGGCGGTAGGCGTGAGTAGGCCTACTGGATCAACGCCGAGTTCTTCGTCACTCACTTCGTCTACTTCCCCGCGCTGCAGTGCACTTCCTAGACACTTCCTAGACACTTCCCAGTCACTTCCTTCTTCGTCACCCACTTCGTCTACTTCCCCGCGCTGCAGTGCGCCGCCGCGAGGGCCGGCGGCGCAGGATCCACGACCCGTCCACGACGCGTCCCCGCCCCGCCCCGCAGGTTCATCACCGCGATGGGCGTCTTCGGAGGCTCGAACGCGGTCTGGCGCGTCGCGACGCTGAACCAGTGAAGCCCCGCCCCCGCGCTTGCCCCACCCCCCCCAGCCCCGCCCCGCCTCCCCTACACCGCGCCGTCCCTAGACTGCAGACTGCAGGCAGCAGCCCGCGTCGCGCCGCCGCAGGTACCAGTTCCGGTGCGACGTGCAGACCGAGGACATCGAGCTGTCCACGCGCGTCGCTCTCGGCAGCGTGCGCATCCTCCGCTTCTGCCCCGAGGCGCGCTCGGGCGAGCTTCCTCCGAGCGGCTTCAAGGCCCTCTACCGCCAGCGGCTCCGGTGGGCCATCGGGTGGGACCAAGTGAGCATGGAGCACTTCCGCGGCATCTTCCGCTCGAAGATCTCGTGCTACCGCAAGCTCGGCCTGCTCTACCTCCTGCCGATGCGCTGGCTCATCGTCCTCACCGCAATCTTCAACGCCTGCATCGCCCCCTGCCTCTCGCTGGTGCGCCCTCCCCCCCCTCCTCCCTCTCCCTCCTCCCTCTCCCTCTCCCTCTCCCTCTCCTCCTCCCCCTCCCTCTCCTCCTCCCTCTCCTCCTCCCTCTCCCCCTCCCCCTCCCTCCCTCCCTCCCCCCCTCGCTCTCCGCGCACGCCAGCCCCCCCCTCCCCCCCCCCTCCGGTCCCTCACGACGAGCCGTGCCCGGCGGCCCGGCAGGTC